ACACATGCACGCTTTTACATTTTCATTCTCTTGATACACCCTTTCTAAGATCACATGCTCCCCCCCCCCCACACACACACACACACACACACACACACAGCAGACAACCCTCTGTCGCTGCAGAGGCGTAACAAGATTAATTGCCGAAGGTAATCCAGAAATCCTCGGCTTAGACAAATTAAAGGACAGTTTGCCTCTCTGGGTCTCCTCCCCCCTCATCCTCTCCCCTTCGCTCCTCCCCTCTCTCCCCTCCCTCCTGACACACAACATATTCCCATAATGAGATCTGATTTAGTTGGCAATCTGAGTTTCCCTGTGTTGACCCTCGCAGCCCCTGGATTACATAAAGTGTGGATTATAGAGGGAGACTCACAAACAACACACAGAAGTGATGCTGATTACATTTAACAGATCAGTGGGTCACACACCGAGACACTCAAACATGATAATAATTCAATAATGATCAAATACAGCTGCTGACGTGTTGAATGTTAAATTATAGTCTAGATACGTCTTTGACCTGCAACTGAAGGTTGTTGATACCACGCCCCCCCCCCTCCCCCACACACCAGAGACATAAATCTCAAAGTGAAAAAAATACGATTTGAAACTGAAAATATAAAATCTGCAACTGAAAACTATAAGACCCCAAATATCAAAATATACATGAAAGTGAAAAATGAAAATTAATATTTTATTTAAAACTATCCAGAACTGAATCATATGTTTAAGCCCCCAAACACTTTTGAAAACACTGTTGTAAAAGTTCAAGATCAAAACTTGAACTTGTTCTTTTCAAATGATCGATGAACTATTGCCTGGACCTGGCTCCATATCTGTGCCACACTGGTTTAAAGGTTCCGTGTGTGGAATTTAGTGACATCTAGTGGCGAAGTGTCATGTTGCAGCTGAACACACCCCTCACCTCCCCCTCCCCCTCCCCCTCCCCCTCCCCCCTTACAAACACGACAGAGAACCTGTGGAGAAGTTGTTTAGTTTGTCCGGTCTGAGCCTCTGTAAAAAACATGGCTGCCTCCGGAGAGAGGAGCCGCTCCTGATGTCAGTGTAAAGTATTTACATATAAAACATTTAAAACACAAAGTATTCAAATATAAAGGTTATATATATATTCATACGGTACAGAAAACAACAATTTGTATGATTTACATGAAACGAGTGAAAACATCTCTGGGATTATTTTCAGTTTCTGCCGATTGAACCTTTCAGCTGAATCTTAAACTGGACTCGAAGTCTTCGTCCTCGTTTGGTGTTTTACCAGTTGAACGACTTTAACTCTGACTATTACTGGTCAGTCTCCTCTGATCCACATGCAGACAGATTGGAGGTGAACAGCCGGTGACGGGATTTTGTCTAAAAGCTCACAGCTCTGAACTGAATCCAGGACGTCATCAGGCACACACACACACACACACACACACACTAGCGACTGGAATCTTTTATAGAAATATAATATGAAGTTTACTTTTTAAGCAGTCAAGCAAACGCGAATGATTTATTGTGATACTTTTTGTTAGTGACTCTGTCACTGAGTCTTTGGATTTCTTAGAATCTGCAGCTTTTATAAAAAGTGGCGTACGATGCAAACATCCAGAATCAAACATGTTGAAGGTTTGTTGTCAAGGTGAATTCACGTGAGCGCATCGTGCAAATAGACGTGCACTAGTATCCCATAATCCACTTAAACTAATCTTTGCCAGTGTCGGAAAACACCCCCCCACACACACTATATGTGAAATAAACGTTTTCTCCAGGAAGAACTTCCAAAGTGAAAAGTTAAAGTGAGGAGATACAGAACAACATCAAGAATAAAACTGAATGAACATTGACATCATCCTCTGCAGCTGCAGAACATTGAAGTTTTTATGATCAAATAATGTCAAATAAAAAAACGAATCTTTTCTGGTTCCATCGTGTTTAATGCAAATGTCTGCTGCAGTTCATTTCTTTAGTTCTACTTAAGTAAGAAAATCATTAAACATGAATTTAGCAGCGATGACTGACAAAGAGAAACTTTGGTTTGTTGTTGAGGCAAAATAAATGATTTTACAAACGATGAATAACAACATGTGACTCACCGTGTTTGATCAGTCGCTTCTTTCTTTGGCTTTTTTAAAATTATTATAATTATGTTGCATCCAAACGAGCTGCAGACAAATTCACCAACACTGACTGAAGAGATAACTCCCTCTCTCTCTCTCTCTCTCTCTCTCTCTCTCTCTCTCTCTCTCCCTCCCCTCCCCCTCTGTGTTAATCTCCATAATATCCCTCGCTGCCAACCACTTAGAGTCCACACACACACACACACACACACATGCACACACACACACACACACACACACACACACACCGTCCGTCTTTAAGATACTCATTCAAACACTTTAAATCTTTCAGCATCAGAACTACTTAAGTTTCCATCTTGTGGGTGAATGAAAATATAAATCTTGGTAACTTGGAAAAGTTCAGTTATTGAACAGCCCTGATTTATTACATGTGATTATACTTTCACATTTAATAGATTTCACACGAGTGATGAGCTGTGTTTTCAGTTATTAGTCTTTTTTTAAAGATGTCTTCACCTCCTGGGCAGCGTATGGAGCTCCGCCACACAGCAGCATCACTCTCCCTCACAACTTCATGTCTACGGGACCTTTGTGTTTATACAACACATTTAAAATGATTTATTTAAAATGTCGAAAGAAAGATGTGTTGTGTCTCCACCTCCAACCATTAAATATCTGGTGGAGATCTAAAGAAGCTGAGAAGTTCATTGTGTGTATTCCATCTTTATTTTACCTGATCATGAGCTGAAGGTTTCATTATAGTCAAAGTTTAAAATCTACTTTTATCGTACCACACTCTGATTTTATGTGATTCTAGTTTTAATTGTTGTCATTTCTGTCAGAACTTAGTGTTTTTAAAAATTATTTCTCCTTTTCATGTATTTTTATTATCACCACAGGTCAGCAAATAAGAGGACATGTCGCCACCGTGTGGTAAAGACGTAAAAGTGCAGAACCAGTGTGAACGGTTGAGCCGACATGTCTTGTTTAGGTTTTCTCTTCAATACATTATAATAATTAATTTGACTTAAAAATATAAGTTATTAGAAGCTCACTGTCTGGATTCATTAACTCTTTGAGTTCAGGTGAAAGTGACACAAACACAAAGTCCAGCTCAAAATGTTTATTCTGATAAACAGAAGTTAGAATCACAAGGCGCAGGCGGACAAAGTGTCAAACATCATCATCAATCCTTCTGTTAGACACTTTAACATCGACACCAACACAACAGCTCATCTTTGACTTGAAGCATGTTTGATACAGGTTGTGCTCAGCGACTGAGCAGCTGGAGCAGAAGGGTGCGATTATTTAAAGCCTGAGTTAAGCTCGTCCCTTCAGGCTCAATCCTGATGTTGTGCGTTTAGCTCTGGCCGCCCAGGGTGTGCTTATCAAACAGGTACTCCGCCATCTTGTTGGTCTGGGGATCCATGCGGGTGAGGTTGGTGATGTGGTCTCCCAGCTTCTTGATGGCCTCCACCTGCTCGTTCAGGTAGTGAGTCTCCAGGAAGTCACACAGCTGAGGACGAGACGAGAGCACAGTTAGCGGTTTGGAACGTCGAGACAGGTTTTCCTAGTTTTCTTCTCGCGCTTCATCTGATAACTTACATGAGGGTCGACGTGCTGGGTCGCCAGTTTGTGCAGATCCAGCAGAGCCTGGTTGACGCTCTTCTCCAGCTGCAGAGCGCACTGCAGGGCCTCCAGTCCGCTGCCCCACTCGTCACGGTCCGGCTTCTGCAGAGGACAAACAGAGAATTACAGCAGACTGAAGTTATATTGAGTCCTCGGCTGCTCTCTGGCCTGTACTGACCTTGACGTCCTGGAGGAAGATGCGTCCTCCTCTTTTGTTCTGGAAGGACATCAGCTTCTCGGCGTGCTCCCGCTCCTCGCCGATGTTCTCCTTGAAGAAGTGGGCGAAGCCTGGGAGGGCCACGTCGTCACGCGAGAAGTAGAAGGCCTGTGAGGGGGCGGAGCCAGGAGACAAACAACAGTCGTTATGGAGACAGGCGAGTCACGAGTCATGACTCAGGAGGGGGGGGGGGGGTTTAGACAAGAGAGGTCAACAAGTATGACGGAGAAACAGGTTTCATGTTGTTGACATGTTGGTTAAACCGTCCACACCTTCC